AAAAAAAATAGCAACACCTGAACATTCATGGATAAGCATCAAACGCATATGGTATTCCGCAAAATCTATATATTTTTTAGGGATCCTGGATATTTTTGGTTTTGAGGATGTGGGCGCAGAATGGAATTCTTTTGAACAGTTATGCATTAACTACGCAAATGAGCATCTTCAAGCATACTTCAATCAGCACATCTTCAAATTTGAGCAGGTTCCTTAATGCACTCTGCAAAGTTTTAGATTAAAATGGTAGCTGAGCTGATGGTTACTCTTTGCTAGCTCACTCCGTTAAATAAAACATTCTGTTTTGACCCGTAGAAGTTTGTAAGCTTTCTAAACGCTCTAGAAATTAAAAGTTTAGGAAGAATACCGTAAAGAGGGCATCGAATGGACTAATATTGAGTACACTGACAACATAGGATGTGTCCAGCTTTTCCAGGTTAATTCTTTCCCTCGAAGCCGTCTTTTCATTGCAGTAGCAAATTGAAAAAATTCTTTCTAGAAAAAACCATACGGAATCTTGCGACTAATTGATGAAGAAAGTAATATCAACAACGGTACTGATGTATCGATGTTGGCAAAATTGAACCAGTTCCTCAAAGACGATGAATATTACGAAATACCCCAAAAAAAAGAACCAGCTTTTATAATTGCTCATTACGCTGGCAAGGTTAAATATCAAATAACGGTACGTTAGTTAAACAAATCATAAAGATCACGTTCTTAATGAGTCAACATTACTTTGACGGCCTACGCACCCCATCAAGTCTTTAGGGTTTTCGCGAAAAAAATAAGGATCTTATGAAACAAGACGCTCTTATGGTGCTGAAGAACAGCAGGAGTGCGTTTGTTCGCGAACTGGTCGGATTTGATCCTGTGGCAGTTTTTAGATGGAACACAGTTCGAGCCGCGTTCCAGGCAATGAATGCATTTCGACAAGCTGGTAGGAAACTCAAACGTTCTGGTAGGATTTTTAATTCATTTTTTTTTTTGACCAAAAATTCCTCAAGAACACGAAATCCTTGCAGATGTAAAGGCATTGTTCTGATGTGATGGTAACTATGAAAGGGTTTATTTACAATTTGTTTAAAGGCGCAAAAATATAGGCACCAAATTTCGTCGCCAACCATTTCTTCAAGAGAAAGATCTCAGTAGTCAAAACTGTTGTTTTTTACCACAAAGTCTTCGGTTTTTTCAAATTGCCTTTTTAATATGTGTTTTTGTGTCATTTTAAAGAGAGGGAAGGTGCGGAGCTTTATTAATTAAAAACTTCCTTTAAGAGGGAGAAGAAGGCGAAGTGGGAGGAGCGAATAAGTAGCATCCCAGTAAACCTTCTACTTCATTTCGTACGGAGTCATCTAGTGCACAATAGTGCTCGATGGTAAATAAGAAAAATTCTGCATTTAGTTTTCTTTCAGGAAGTGCGGATCATTTGTTAGTGCCAGATGATTCTAACAAGCAGTCAATCTCGCGGCGAAATTCAGATTCTCATCTAAGCGCATTTCTTCGAGGTGATATAAATTTGGATGTTGTGCCTGACTTTTGCGACACATCGTTCTTCCAGACGATCGTTAGTCATGCCAAAAAGCAGCCAACGAAGCCAAAAGAACCAAAGCAGAGTGCCCTTAAAAGTCTACAAGTCAGATTTCTGTTAACTTAAAATTGCTAAGTTTTCACATCTTGAAAACTTGTTTGGTTTATATCCAGAGAATTTCAGGCAGTAAAAGCTTTAATCGGAAAGAAAATGCTCACGGGTAAACCCTCTTCGGTCAGCAAACAATTCGAGTATTCCCTCTCACGACTTATGAAAACTCTGGCTCAGGCTAAACCGTATTTTATTAGATGTATCAAATCAAATAATGAGAAAGTAAGTAATATCACTGGCGACTATTGATTAAATTCAACTGCATACTGATTTTGACGTCTTAGGTACCCAACTACTTCGACGATAACATAATTCTCCGACAACTGCGGTACACCGGAATGTTAGAAACAGTTCGAATTCGAAGAGCTGGCTACAGCTTCCGCATTGAATATGATGTCTGCATTTTAATATTTTTTATTATTTTTTGAGCTCAAAAATTTTAAGTTTTCACATGTTTGTAAAAAGCTGAGATTTTAAAATTTCGCCTTTTACTTGAACGAAGGTAGTTGGCCATTTTAGGCTAACTTTGTAAAAAATCATAATGCTAGTTTGAAAGTTTCTAGGCATTTATAAAGCAGTACCGAATTTTGTTGCCACATGGGCGATACAGTTCATTGGAGGATGTTAAGTTTTTTATAACCCACCATCCGTTAATTGGTGATGATAAAGTTCAGTTTGGTTTGACCAAGGTAACGTCTCATCTTTTTTTTTTCGCAAATTGGAAAGGATACTGTCATTATAGTATAGCTGTATTATAGATATTTATGCGCGATGCAGAAAAGTTGCTTCTGGACGATAACCTTCATAAGACAATCATGCAACATATTGAGACTCTCCAAAGGTGGTTCAGAGCTGTCAATACCAGAAGGAAATTCATTAAGTTAAGGAATGGAATAATCAAAATACAGGTTAGCTCGGCCTCTGCGTTGGGGATTTTCAAGTAATCCATAGTGATTTTTTAAAAAATTTCGAAGTTGATTTTCACAGATGGATTTATGTTGACTATATTTAAGGCAATTGCGAGAGGCATGTTTGTCAGAAACAAAATTCGTGAGCACGCTCATGCTGCGCTGGCGATACAGACGGCCTGGCGGCGTTACAGGGCTCAGAAGAGGTATAATCAGATTCGGCGTGCTGTCATCGCCATTCAGGCTGCTTTTCGCGGTAATCAGGCTCGTCAGAAGTAAGTTTCGTTTCTCTTCCCACTCTAACTTTGTTTTCAATGTACTTGAATGTTTTATCAAATAATAGCAATTAGCATTCTATCTTATTAGAGATCTAATATATTTGGTAAGAAATATGTGACACATCTCAGGTTATTGGAGAGTCAAAAAAAAGCTCCATTCAAATTCGAGATAACAAAGTTTATTCATAAAATGGAACTGGCTACTTTCGACTTGAACGACCCAGAGTCGTTAGCTCAGTTTGCGCCATCTGATGAGGATGAAGAAGAAACGCTAAGCACCCTTAGCACAACGGAAGATCTTAATGATGATGTAGAAGGGGACGAAGATGAAGAAGAAATTGATGATGCTGACAGCGTTATTAGAGATACTCCACATGGGTAATAATTTCGAATTAGCAGAAAACATCCTCAGCAACATTTTTACTTCCAATGTAGCAACAAATTGCTGTCAGTGTTCCAGTTCTTTAAACTTTGCAACGCTTACAGCACCCATAAACAGTCTCAATTGTTGCTCGCGGCAGGTAAAAAGCTATATCTCTGATCAATCACATTTTCTCAAGATTCTCTCTGAGTGCTTCAGTGTACTCTAACTTTTTCCGGTAGTCTTTAACAGTACTTCAACTAGTCAGAATCTTGCTGATATAAGCATCGCTATTTTTTTATCTCTGTATTCATTTTTGATTTTCTGTTTATTTTGGTTAGCACTACAACAACATTCAGCAAAATTGCTCTTGGCTAAAAAATTTACTTTCTTTTAATATCAGGGATTCATTTGAGATCCAAGTAGTTTCTTCCGGCATGTACACAAAAAGAACAGTAAAGAAAGGTATTTTTGACGTTCCTGCTACGGTGTGGCAACCAACAGTTCTTCTGCCTAAATTTTTAGCATCGGTCAATAACATTAATTTTAGACAATATGATTTCCAATTCGTATATGCCTTAACCGCTTATAAATACACATATTTATTGATAAAAACAGTAACCAATGACCTGCTGATTGCTGTAGCTTGGATGATGCACCAATCTGCACACTTTTCAGAGATCAAATTGACATCGATCTGGATGCAACGTTTATTCTTGAAGATACGAAACTAAAGCTCGTCGAGTCTGTCTTTTCTATAATTAATATTTTTCATAACGTAGCAATAAGTCCTTCAGTACTTCTCTTCAATTACTATTTTAGTTGTAGAGTATCCAAACGGTGTCAGTAGCAACAAAAAATATGCAAGTTAGAACATATTGCTTATTTTATATTTATGTAAAAAAAAATCTGTGGTTTTTAATCTTTGGCCTTCTTTGAAAAAGTTTGGATACTCAGTAACCTCCAGAAAAGACGTAACTTTTACACCAAAAAACTTACTTCATCCAGTCAACCTTCATTCTTCAAACATCCAAACGAAAAACTTATCATAATTTAGTGATCCATGACCAATTAACTTTGTTTTAAAGGATGCTGAAAAGACAAATGATTATTTACTGTGGTAAATTCTGTTTTTCTTGTCGGTTAGGTCTCAAGCTAAAACTTTAATTTACAAATTAATTTGTTTTTTAACCACATTATCAGCAGCACAAATAGCTGTTCAATCGCTTTATAAAATTTACTAGACAGATGCTTTATTCTTCTTAAAAAGAAGAGAAGATTGAAGGAATTTGTTAAATTGCAGTGAAAAACGAGAGGGCGATTTCAAGCGAAGACAGAGCCTCGCAACTACTTGCTCAACAGCAAAGGTTTATTTTTTAAATTGTATTTTTTTGGTATTTTTGTTCTTGCGTATAACGGAAAGCCGATGAAGAATTGAGAACATCTAGAACTCACTAAAAATTGACAACTGCGCAGTATTGGGTACAACTGAACTTTGTTAGGAACGCAAGCAAAACAGTTTACTCCATATTTTTTAAAGCGCTAATAATTTGTTGTTTAAATGCCAACGGTCTCAAAAATAAGGCTCAATGAACATTATTAAGGGTCGTTTTCGATTAGTCTACCTTGATCAGGAAAAGGTAAGCAAAATCAAATGTGCAAACACATATACACACATATTCAGAAATTCTTTTTGCACTTACTGATAGCAACTCTAATGAACAATTTGGGCTCTGCTTTCATTAGTCACTTTTGATGCACTATACTTTAACTGAAAGCAGTTCCCTAATTGCACTTTTGAAAAGTAATGTTCTTCCTGCCAATATTTATGTAACAAATGCTATATGATCATATATTAACCAAAATACTTTAAGTGGTTAACAGAACACGCAATAAGAACATTATTCCCATCCATCAAACCCCTTTTCAGAATTGAGTGTATTGAATTATTCATTCATCTTCTTTTCGGTTATTTCTGCAAAAAAAAAAAAATAAATAAATAAATAAAATAAAATAAAGAATCAAAAAAAGCTTTTCTTTGCTCTGATAAGAAAGGAAAAAAAATTCATTGAGTAAACTAGAAATTAAAATTTTTTTGTATCAGTTATACGTTAAGTGCAACGCAAACAGAAAAGTTGCTATTTGTTTATCCATATAATTAACTTTTTCATAGTGTCATGTAAAAATTTCATGGTTATTCTTTTTTTAAAGTTGAAACAAAGACAAGAAAGAACTTTCTTTGTTTCCGCATGTGTAATACCAAGCTTCCTCCAGTGTGTAATATACTCTTTCGAAATTGTTGACAGCTTTCTTATTCTTCAGCCTTCTTACTTCTGATATGACCATCCCTAAATATATATTTTCATTCTCCGTAATTTCACTTCCTTAGCTTGTTTTTGTTTTTCGCAGCGGACATTGTATGAAGTGACGACAAACGTTTTCATTGCTGCTTTACAAATTCAAACTGTTTTAAAGAATCTTTTAAAGAATTGAGGATTGTAGATGCCCCAAATTGCTTTGTCTGATCTTTCCGTTTAAAAAAAAACAGCCGATTATTTTTCCGGAAGCTTCAATGAAGAGGATGTTTAGCTTCTTTATGGTAAGACGCAAATTTCTATAAAAGTTTGAAGATGTGTGACACCATCTGCTTGCATTTCAAAATGTCTTTTATGGACTCATTTACGAGACATAGGACTACGGGAAAGCGATAGAAATAAAGAGAACAAAAAATAGGACAGTAGGGAGAGCGAAAAATAGCATATTACGCTCGGAAAACAAAACTAAATAACCCTCAAAAAATACTAATGGAAGGTTAAAAGAGAATTGGACATAAATATACACAAAACAGAAAACCGTGACTTCTTCTATCATATCATTTGTCAACTCTTCTAAAACCCCGTTTATACACCTCTTTTTCAACTTCTGGCTACTTAACATTTCAAAGACACAATTAATTTTTAGTAGAATAACACGTCTAGGTTTTTGCAATTGATAGATTTGCTCTGCACAATCTTTCAATTTTCAGCAGTGCTGAACTTTCTCCGCTAAATAAATCCATCACTTGTCCAATCTTCTGTTTAATTGTAGACAAAAAAATGAATAAAAGAGCATTCAAACATTAAGAAATACAAAAATTTCACTAATCACTTCTTTGTAAATAGTGTTTGACAGCTGTATTGAGGAACACATGATTTTAATATTTAAAAATTTCACTTTTTTCCTATTAGAAGCTAATAATCTTTTTCCTCCCTAAACATTAAGCGCAGCAGTAGTCATTAACCCTCCTTTCATAAAAGTACAAATGAAAATAGACAGTCACAACCATTTGCAGATAATTTCAGTTGTCCATAGCATTGGTAATTTCAATATGTTTACAAGCTTTCTAATATTTGTTTGCCAGCTGTAATTTAATAACTATAAACAACTTTAAAACAGTGAATGTGCTAAAATTAGCAACAAAAACCAACAGTTCAGCTATATTCCTTGGTAACAAAAAATAACTGCAGAGGAAAAGGAGAATAAAGTTTAGGAAGCACAACAATAAATACTGTAACTAAATTTGCACTGCACTGCATACAGAAAACAAAAATTACTATATCAAAAAACTTACAAGAAATAAATTTTCTTTTTAGCTTAAAATGCTTCGCCGAGCAGCAAGCACAGAGAGCGATCAAATTCAACTGAAAGAAGGATGCTCTAAAGAACCCCAAGTAAAGAATCAACAGTTGCTTTTACCCTTTAACTTTATCCATTTTAATGACACCAACTTGTACTCAGCGTTACCAACTGCTCTTGCACTGTTGAATGAAGGCGTGTTTTGCTTCAGAGTCCAGAAAGCAAATCGAAAAGTAAAAAAACTGGTTTTACAAAAGCGAAAAAACAGTTAAAAGCATTCTTGCGAAGAAGGAGTGAAAGCATGCAGAGCGAAGAACTTGATGAACAAGCATCGCTACAGACAAAGTATTAATCCTTTTTTCCTTTTGCGTATTCTTGTCGTTCGCTCATCTAAAAAAATTGCTTAAAAATCTTAAAACTTTTTTACACTTATAGTTCAACATTGACTGAAGCAAGGGCAGCTAAAAAAGGGGTTATGAAGTCACACAGTTTGAAGCTTAGTAGGCTTCACAGAACTGAATGTTGCGCCTTATGTAACAAATCGTTGACTGGAATTCTTGCACAAGGACAGAAATGCTCGAGTCTGATTTTATTAATTTCTTTAGAAGAAGCAAAGCATTTTTTGCTGAATAATTGAATTGACTATTTTCTGTTGCAACAATAAAAAATTTGCAGACTGTAAATTGACGTTTCACAAGGAATGTTCTGCGTTTGCTGCGAATATACCGTGTCAGACACCAGTACATTCACCACAAGCGGAATCTGCGCCGCCTAGACGTCCTTGGGATTTCAAAAGCGCTCGGTAACTTCTTTGCTCAAATTTTTTTTAAGCTTTCAATACCGCACTTTACTTAAAATTTACTTAAAAAGATGCTGTGTTTTAGATCTGGATTTTCTCCTCGTCAGTCTTTATCACCGTTGAACTCTCCTACACCAAAGTCGTTCAATTTGTTCAAGACAAAGCAACAGGCATTGAACTTTTTAAAATTACATTTTTCTGGTATATCTAAAATTATCGCTCGGAAAGTCATACTGTTCTTAAGCGTATTGGTCGCTGAAATACGCCAAAACTTATTAGACTGCAGTAAATTTTTATATTTATAGCTTCTGGTGGCTGAGTTGTTTTCTATGGTTCATATCTGCTGTTTTTCGGCAGGCAAAATAAGGTTTTTGAATAAAACGAACAACAGATACTTATCTTGAGAAGATTTTAGACAGATCCTTCGGATATGATTGTGGAGTCGTCAGATGATCTTAGACAGTTCAACGTTTTCATTTTCAAAAAACTTTCAAAAATAGAACAGGATGTGAAGAAGCGTGATACTTTGGTAGACGCTATATTTAAGAAGGCTTTGAAGGAATTCCATATGGAAATCATCAGCTACGAAGCTGTACTCAACGTAAGTTAAACAACAAATAAGGCCTACGTCATACTGCTACTTAACTGTCAATTTTTTCACTTTGAACTGATAGTTATCAGGATCATTCAAGCTATTACTGGTAGTCTTTTAAAAAGATTAGAGTAGATTTTCGTCTTAAAAAAACCATTATATTTCATCAGTTAGTCGGAGCAGTGAATATAAATAAAAAACCAAAAATTTATAGGAAGACAGAACAATGCTGAAGTATCGTGATTTGATTAATATATTTCAAGGAACATTAACGAAAATATCTGCTCAGGAAAAGGTAATGTAACTTATAAGCCGAAATTGGTAACTGCGGCGTTAAAAAAGCTATTTGTTTCCTTGATCTTATTCTTTTTAGACTTCATAAAAGCAGTAAAAGTGTTTCCATTTTTTTAATACTTACTTTATGGAACTTAACTTTTACTTCTTAAAGAATATACTTATTTTGGTATAATTAAAATTTTTTTCTCAGAATGTTATTTTACAAACAACATTTTCTTCTACTAATTTTACAGGATAAAAAGATAGTTGTCATATTGTGATAGTCAAAACCTGTTAAGTAAACGTTGTATTTACTTCAGAAATTAGCTGAAAATAAAATAAATTGCTTGTTGAATAAAAAATTACTTATTTTTAGAGAATAAAATTATTGTTTATGCAGGTGACAATTTTATTGTTTAATTTACTGACAAAGAAACAGCATAATGAAATTTTTAAAAGTCAAAAATGATTAATATAATTGCTGCTTACTAATAGACATAGTACCTGTTATAGTAGTTTTAGCAAAAAAACTTTGCGATTTGGCCATTCTATAATTCAGCTTTCAAAAGCATTTTAGTCTCATTTTGAAAAAATTGATGGATTATAGTATTACTTAAACAAAGTATCGTTTTTTGCTGCTGACGCCATATGTCGTTTTAGCAGTTCTCCGGGTTTCAAAAAGCTGAAAGTTTGAAAAGAAAGTGGTTATCCTTAAAGAAGATTAGAAGTGATAAACTGTTAAACGTAAACACTTGAACTATGACAACAGAGTACTTAAAACAAAGACATTTTATGCTTTCAAGGCTTATTCTTAAAGAATTTTTAGTTGAGCTTTCAGGCTTCGCTAATCTAACGTCTTTGCAGTATCTGCTCTGAACAACTTTCATTTCTCGATTAGTTCTCATTTTATTCGCTTTGCTTTGCAAGTGCTGTACACCATTTTTTTTCTGTATTCTGTGAAAAATAGCTTTGAAAAACTCTCTCATATTCTGCTTATTTACTCTACAAATTTTTAGTAGTTCTCTTGATAGCTAAGTTTCCTGATTAGTTAGAGTAGATGACTAATCGTAACTATTTGACTAAAATTTACCGATAAAATAAATGCTTATTTTAGGTGACTTTTCCTACTACGCTCGGCGTTAACGCTCTCAGAGGTTTTCTGAATGAATTTGTGCAAGAGCAGCTTAGGAGAAGGACATTACAAAAGAAATCCAGTATGCTCCAAGTAAAATCGTTGTTTTTTCCCATTAATTCTTTTACCGTTTTTCTTGCTTCTGACCAGCCCAAGTTTGTTTCGTTTTTTTTTCTTATTTTTTTGTTTGGCCACTCTAATTGTTTCTAACTTAAAAGATTTCTATAAGAGGGGGAGGGACAATCAACTTATCAATATTTCAAAAATAACCTTTTTCTCCTTATTCAAATTAGCCACATTTTGGGCAATTGTTGTGATAAATATTGTTCACTGAATGAAACCTTTAATACAACAAAAAAATTTTAAGCGTTTCACAATCTACCAACTTAATTGTTTATCAGCGCAACAACAGCAGCAATGTTACTTAAGTAGTTATAAAAAATAATTTAGATAAAAATTAATTGTATGATTCGGAAAACCTTTAAAATTTTGCAACATTTTATCTTACACTAGTTGACCAAATTTTTCACAATTTTACAGAACTCTAAACGATCGAGGGTTTAAAGTGTTTTAGATATATATAGGACTCTTGCAGTAAACAAGTAATTGCATCTCTTTAGAAAAATTAAGGCAGACGTATCTTATTCTTAAGGTTCTCTTTGTTTTGTAGAGTGCTACCTTTTTCTAGCATCGAAATTTTAGGCTGTTGCTTTCTTGACGACTGCAGATGATGGTAAGGCTAATGACAGAAACAACATTCTTAAGATACTGTTTCTTCCTGATACGCTAAACTGTACGGCTCTTTTGCACCTTCGCTTTCATTTTTTCTGTCGCTAATCTAAAAGCCAATCACAAGAATTACAGAAGCACTTTATTATTCCTTATCATGCACCTGATAGATTTATGTAACCATCGCTTTCATGCTATTTTTATCTAGAAGCCACATAACCTGCACAAAAAGCTTTGGTGTTATAAATGCAAACGCTGCAGACCGTTGAAAAATTGAAATTTCTTTACTTACCAACTTTTGCAGCACTTTTCCTGTGAACCACAGTCATCATTTTCATAAATTTACCAACAAATTAGTAACTGTTTTCCGTTTTTCTTTTTTTTTTTTTGTATGTATCACTTTTCCACTTGAAATCTGGAATATCAGATAAGTTTCAAAAGAACTATTATATACAGGTTTTGATAACAATTTTTATGGCTTTCGAAAAAAAACTAGTACGACGAGGCATATATTTCGAACATTAAAGATGTAAGTGCTAGTTTTTCGCTTTCAGTGATTTGTGAAACAACCAGAATGGCTTGCAGGTGTTCACATTTTTTTACTGGTTTTTTAACATCATTTTTTGGCATATAACAGTCATTTTTATACGTTTATTTGATGCTTCTACAGTTTTTTAAATCCAACTACAGGTTTCTTGTGAAACCACAGTCCTACAAACAAGAAACAAAAAAGCCAAAGTTTAAACAACTAGCATTATTCAAAAGATTTGAGGAAAACATTTATTAGGGTCGTCTGTGCCGCTTAGTTTTCCAGCGAATAGAAACAGCTTTTTGTCTTTTAAAAAAATGTCTTTACTTTTCTTGACATGTAGCTGAGAAAAAAAGTTGGAAAGAAACTGATTCCGAGAAGGAATGCACAGTTTTTTCTTAATGTTGCTCTTAATACTTGAAATGTAATATTTAGGTCTCTCAGTTTTATTGTATTTCAAATTTTTTTTCTAATAACACTTGATCATTATGTCAAATTTAAGAGTGAATACTGCAAAGATTCATTTTTGAGGCTATAATTATTCTGCGAAGTGAACCTTTTATAAACTTTCATGTAGCTGTAATTATGAAATCATCTTAGACTTTTGACTATCATACGAATTTATCGAACTCAAAGTCGGCAAATTGTTGTAAATATTTTTGGTGTGGTCTAAATTAACGGTTGTAAATTACATCAGAAAAAGAGAAATTTGAGCAATAGCGCATATTTAATAAATTGCTTTATTTCGCAAGTCTTGGACAAATATGCCTGGTTTGTAAATATTCAGTTTCTATGTTCAGTTTGTAACTAATAATGTTGGACGTTAGTTTTACCGACACTGTCAAAGTCGAGGTATTTCATTTGCCCCAAAAATGAGAAAATATACCAGTCGCGTAAAAATCTTCAACAGCTCATTTGGGCTGGTGGCACCAATTTTCTTCTCCGTCCCTAGGGGTGGAGCTTCCGAAGAAACCCTACCCATTGGAGCAGAAACAGTACATCGACACAAGCAAGGTGCTAGCACGTAACATCCCGCATGAGCTAACATCCGTCAAGCATTGCCCATTGCTCGGTCTGCTGACACACAAAATGACCGAATCAATTTGGCTGAGCAATTCCTTTCAAGAACTTGACCGTTAAAGTGTCGACAGGTGTGCGCGGTAAAGTACAGTGGCGCAAAAGTTGAAGACTGAACTTTAGGAAGGAATAGAAAGAATACATGTAGCTGCTGTACACAGTCTAAGCAGTAAACAATGTGATACGTAAATGATTTAGTTAGCGTTATGAGATCATATACTCTTACGCGCGGGTGAAAGGAGCATTTGAGCACTGGTGAGCCGACTTGAGCAGACTGGGATTATTCACCCAGTATCCAACTCAACAAGGCCTGATGTCTAAATTTGTGTCTTGAAGAGCGGAGCAGCTCAAGATTTACAATAACGTCTTTTTTAAAAGACTTTGCAAAAATTATGCTGCAGTGAACAGCACACTGGCAATTCAAATACTTTATTAGAACCTATAAGTGTCGAGGAGGAGTTGAGGCAGAACAAAACTGCGCAAATTGGAACCAAGACGGTAGAGCAATTACCTGCGCTACATGATAATGTGGTTGTGAAGTATTTCATGTTACATTTAAAAAGTTTTTTGTGCGAATGGGTAAAGGAGAGAGAGAGAGTGTAAGCAGGCTTTGTGAACTACGTTTACTTTGCCCACTTCCCCCTCTTCTTCAATTCTTTTTTGCCTGTGCTCAAAAAAGTTATGCTTTCTGTTCTCTCAACTTTCTCTCTCTCTCAAATGCTTTCAAGTGTCGGCTCACAATCAAATGAACCATCTGATACCCATAAAATAGAACCAGTCCTATTTCCTTTCATGCCTAAAATGGAACTCAAAACCACCGTGTTTTCTACATGCATGTGTGCTACCAACTCTAGGCGGATTGTGTCGGCTGTGCATCAGAGAAGTGAGGTGGTATCTCTCATCTTTGCCAGCGACTATGGCATACTGTATATGGCATCTATGCACCGTACAAAACAAGCGGGCTTCTGATTGGCATCGTCCTTCCCAGCCAATCAGCATGATAGAATCACCAGTCTAAATGAGAACCAACCTTCGCTTTGTTTACCGATGGTGCCGTACAAAAATTCTCTTAAAAATGCAAATAAAAAGTGCACTACATTTCAGAAATTTCTTTAAAAATTTTCTCGCATACGCTTTCTTTACTGATCTTCCTTCTGTTTAGCCAATATTTTCACCATCGTCATGAGCAACTTCTTATTTTTCCGTGGGCCTTCTAAAAATGAGATGTAGAGATAGCGAGCCTAATATA